CCACCCACCCCCAGCACGGACTGTTCACTTCTTTGCCCTCTGGCCGGAGGATCAGAAGTGTGAAATGCAGGACCACTAGACTGAAAAACTCTTTCTTTCCCTCTGCCATCAGACTCCTAAACAGCTGAGGAGTTTATTACCAGGAAATACGTCATGTACTGTTTACATTCTCAGTTTGCACATGCATAATTGCACATTGACTGTTGACTGCTGCACATGCTGCTCCAATGTATCATACATTCTCTATTATATTCTTATATATTTTTATTATATTGCTGCATTTGCTACTTAAAGTGCCTTAGATTTTGTGTTACTTATTTATCTACTTTATATTTCATTTGTATTTTTGTGGCATTCATGTGGATGGCAAAGTAAGAATTTCATTGTACAGGGAAACATGTTTCCTAACTGTGCATATGACAAATAAACACTTTGACCTTTGACCTTGAGGAAGTGGATTTAACTCACAAGCCCTTTCCTAAGGCCACACATTTTCACAAATGCTGCAAAAACTTTACAGCGACTCACTGTCTTGTGTCATAACAGACAATCCCTCACTAAGCTGCACAATGTACACTATATGATACTAAACGTGTGGGGTGATGTATTATATATAATATAATTACTAGATGTAGCCCATCAAATGCACAGTATTACATGTTAAAAAGAGCTGTTTACATGTTAAATATTCAATCACTTCTACAGTGTGTTGTCCTGAAATGTGTCTCTGATTAAATGTGCTGTGATATTATCCTGGAGTTTCCTTCCACCTACTGGTCAAGGAGAGAATCGAAGGAATGTACAGGAGACCAGTCCATCACTGGTGGATGGAATTTTTTTTTAACCAACATAGTCGCTCTACATTCACATATTACTAAAACAAGAAGTGTTAACAACATATCATAAATATATCATAGCCCCTCATCCCTCCTATAACAGTTCATACCTTTAAGTGCTGTCCTGGAATGGCACACAGATAATAGCTACTGTTTAGCAGCTTGAAAAGATATTAAATCATTAAATCTAAAAATTCAGACACTTCTCCTTGTATGATTTTAAAACAGCACAATAATAGTATGTCTTTCATTTCTGCCTACATTCTTGAAGTGCTTACAGAAAGCTAATTTCCTTATTAGGAACTGATTAACTGCACATTGTACTTTCGTGCCACTCTGTCTGAAGACATTTTGACAAAGCCATGACATTAAGCTAGAAAGTTCAAGGAATGCCTCCCCCCGTCTATGAACAAAACGGTCCACTACCCTACAACTCCACTAAAACAGGACACAATGGCCACACATACCATTTCACAAAGTGTATGGGTGTTTGTTGGTTATTCTGGACAGGCTTTACAGCAGAATCAACAATTAAAGGAAGTTCAAGCTTTGGCTGAACCACTTTCTCTCTCTAAAGGCTAAAGGTTGTCAACTTCTTAGTATAATAGACTCACACGGTTCACAGTGTCACTTGATTAATGTCGAGGCTGTAGATACAGGAAGTTGAAGGATGGTTTATGATCAGCTCTACAGAGTCAACTCCAAAGCTGATATGGCAAATGGGCTCATGCATACCAACATGAGTACTCACATCTTTCTGACTGTATTGATGATTATGCAGATTTGGTTTGGAGTGGACTGAAATAATGCTGACTGTGGGATCAAGTAAGAGTAACATCTTCATTCACTGGATCCTCATTTGACATGGTTTGAAAAAATAACCTAGAGTGAAAATGGTGTATTGAAAGACTAACTGTGCTGCTTCTCTATCTTATCACACTACAATGTTTTTACTAGTTTTCTCCAAATGAGAGGAGACCAGGCACTCAACGCAGTCACGACTGACCTGGCAGACACCATGGAAAGCCTGAACTTAACAACTATGACACTGAAAGTTAGAACAAGCAGATATCCGCATATGCAGATACTGTTAAAAATGCACCAGCACTGTTACAACTGAACATTAAAAGCACTCACAGTATTGTTATCATCAGTTTCAGCTGTGGCTTTATCTTTAACCACCATTTCTGACCCAGAACAATAACAGCTGGAGCAGCTAATGGCAAAACTGCTTCTTGTGGTCTTTGACGTGGAAACAAAAAAGTGAAAGAAGCATTTTTCATTTATGAGAAAAACACAAATATTGGCAAGTGTGGTGAACCTTCCTGTGGTGACACCTAAAGAACGGAGTCTTATGACACTGGAATGACACCGTTTTACATCAGTCAACATGAAGGAAATGATGGGAGAGGAAGTGATTACAGCAACACTCCATCTCCCCACCTCCAGGATCTCTGTCCTGGATAGATAAGCCACTCCTGTTACTAATTTCAAGCAGAAACGCAGGAAATGTGACAGTGTAGTTTTCCGCTTCCATAAACAAGACGACTGCCAGAGTTAGCTGCCAGTCTTGTGTGCCTCTGGGCTGAGTCTCCCTCTGAGAGAGACAGACATACTGACAGAGAAAGTGAGCAAGGGACTAGAGAGACGGAGAAAGTGAGACAACAGGAAAGAAGAAGAGCAGAAGGACAGGAAAACCTATCAGAGGAGAAGAAAGGCAAGAACTGACAGAACAAGAGGAGAAGGGAGAAGAAGAGAGTAAACTACAGGCTGAGCTGGGTCTCTCTTCTTCTCCTCTAAAAGAAAAACAATGGCAGAAAACAACACAAATCACTTTCTGGAAATACTTCAGTCTTTCGATGCTGGTGAGTTTCTTTTTTTCTGACTTCCCTTCTTTTTTAGTTGATCTTTTTCATGTGGTCTCTCTGATGGGACCGTTGTTTCCTCAAGAATTTAAGCTTTAAATTACCTCTGGAATAGATACAATATGTGAACCTGGTTACTTTATCAAACAAATTAGAATTTAGACATTCAAAGAAACCTTTTTCAGTATATACAAATACTCAGTCAAAATCTATAAAAAGGTACTGATATGGATTCTTAATGTTTTTTCTCAGTTATCCCAAATGTCATTTCCAGATGACTTTTGACCAATGTCTGCTTTCCCCTTTCCTAAAGCCAGAGGGGGAAAAATACTTCTGTGGAAATATGGGCTGGTGGCAAGAGAGGTTCAGTTTTTTTAATGCCTTACTGTAGTAAAAGGAAATTAATTTGTTTTCCCTGGCAAAAGTCCAACAGGATTTGCCTTAGCTGCTAGTCTTCTCTCAAGCACGCTTATGTTGGCAATACTACTTCCAAGGCAAAGAAACAATGAGCAAAAGTCAGTGGGTTGTTTGTAGTAAAGAAATGTGATCAGTTTGTTGTATCCAGAAGACGTGCTCAGGTAAACACAAAAGAGAAAAGCCTATTATTATTTTGTCAAAAAACATCTTGCACTATACTTGCTGGAAATCATGACATTTGTAAAAAAAAAAAAAACTGATTGTGCTTATAATCTTGGTAAAGCAATAAATTCTAATTAAAATTTCTTCCATTAACAGGGGATTATTAAAAAACTGACTTTTATTAAGAATTAAGTGCATTTAGATGTACTGCATGTATGGAGCTATTATTAAACTCTTATTCCTCAGTGATTTTTAAGAGCAAAAAATGTTGGGAGGAAAGAGGAAAAAAAAATCAAGTAGCATAGAAATAAAACATTTAGAGGATGTTTGTGAAGTATCAATCAAAAACACTGCAGCACAGAATATCCTGTTTAATGTATTTCTTTTTCACAGTGCCTCTGATCATAGCTTTCTGTGTGTCCATGGCCGTGGGCCTGGTCTTGGGGGCCCTGGTTTACGTGATCCTAACCTGGATGTCCCGACGCAAAGCAGGCTCTGCCAACATCACACGTCGCCCGGCTCATCAATCACATTTTAATTCCCGCAACCGCCCAGGCTTTAATCGCAACAGCAGCTATGACAGGCGCAGCAACAACAGTTTGGTCAGTGCTGCTTTCAGCTTTCACCGCCAGACGTCCTCTTCAGATCACCTTGACTCTCCAGGGCAGAAATCTATTTTCAAGGCCTCTACTTTCCACCCTCTCATTCAGTGCAGCCAAATTGCAAGGAAGGCAGAGGAAGGAAGCCAGACCACGCTGCCTCGTACACCGACTCTGACCACACCAACTGGAACAGGTCAAACTCCAGCCCAGCCAGCTGCTACCCCACCCAGACCTGAGTCATTTCTGGGGAACAACAGCCCAAGGGGCTTTCATGCAACACAGACCCCACCTCCAGCATACGAGAGCATTATTAGAGCTTATCAGGAAACAGACACTTGAGGAGCAATGGCACCATGCTGACAAAAACTGAATGAGCTCAGAGTTGTAAATAGATTCAGAAATAATGGACAAAACCTGTCTTCATTTATATGATCAGGGGAGTTGGATTTAGCAGACATCTGATAACTATGCAAAAGAGAGAATAACTATGTAAGCATACCCCGAAGGGAGACAAGGATTTATGTGTTATCTTGTCAATAATACTGTAGCTGTGTCACTGATTTATCTATGCAAAACTTGGTGATAACTGCTTCAAACCCCTTTGATGTTTTAATTACTGTCACTTTTTTATTTTTTTATTTTTTACAGTTGTGGTATATAGGTGTGTGTTCCCTTTAAAGTAAATTTAGTCCGTTTGCATGTACAGTATCGGTAAGCATGAGAGAGGTCCACAGAAAAAATTGGATTAGGTGTATGAAGTTTTTGTATGTTATGTATCTCTAAAGTATGCTCATAAGTTAATGTAATAAAAGCAACAATCAAATACAAGTTTTCCCTTACAAAGTCTAGGGGTGATGGTTTCTAGCACAAAAAAGCAGTACCTTTATCCTTATCTTGCTTAAGGTAACGAACGCATGGTTATAAAGATAAGAACACTACAAAATATGGCAAACCAATAGTTTTCAAAATGCATAGTTTTCAATAGAGATGTTTCTTACATTCCATTTTTGTTGATCATGTTATACAAATGTTAATAGCATTTTATACTGAGATGCTGTCCACTAGTGGATACAATAGGGGAAATGTCTTATACAAGTATGCCTCATGTTAATCTGTCAGTAGCACCATCATCAACACCTCCTGCAAGCATTATGATTTTTACAATACTTTTTATTTATAGCAGGATTGATGTATTGGACTGATTTCTTATTATATTACAGGTGTTTTATTATTTTGTATGCTCCCTTTACGCAGACAGTTTCTTTATGTCTAATCTGACCACTGTTTCCTGATAGGGGAACTAGTATACTACAGTTGTGGTGGCCTCTCAGAACCCTTAAGCTTTGCTGTAAGAAAGAAAGGCCGCCCTTCTAACAGCAAAAGACAGATATTTTGTTGTATTTTGATTATATTAAAGTGTCCTAACAATGCTACACACAAATGGAACTACAAGGTACGTCAAACGTTCACTATTGCTTGATAGCGTTTCAAACACTTTTGCATAGCGCATTCTGACGCGTTAGATGACGTATTATTTGTGAGACCAATTGTCGCTGTGTTTATGAATACCGCTGGGAGCTGCAGTGACGGAAACATTAATTACTGTAGACCTGGTAAAAACTGTCAGTTAATAAACAAGGTAATGAAAATTAATCCACAACGCAATCAGTCAGTCGGGTAAAAAATGCAGAAAGTTCGAAGAACGACACGTTAGCCAAACGCTGACGTTACATTTTTAGTAAGTTTGTGTAAGCTAGCGGTTAATTTAGCTTGACAAGTTGTTAAGAGTTTTAACTGGACTGCTTATGTTAACATATGATCTGCCATAGTGTAACATGAAGCTGAACGATATGGTCAACCAGGATAGACTGCAACTGGCTTAGCTATAACGTTAGCCAAATTAGCTAACCTTAGCTAGAAGAGTTGTGAGTGAGTTGATGCCTTACATTAGTTAACTACAGTTGGCATTAATTATTGTCACGAGATGGCTGGGTCTCTGTACTGTCGCTTAATTAAGCGTTAGAGCCTTGTAACTGGATAAAGTACCATAGTTTTACCATTACCATTAGTTTTAGCATAAATGTCCCTGGCCACGACACAGATACAGTATGTAAATGTGTATTATAGCGTGAGATAGGCCTAGACTGGATAAATGGTTATTATTCTTTCGTACTCTGATTAACGTAACTTGGCCTAAACATACTCGGGGATTTGCAGGCAGAGGATGTCTGTCGCAGCTTTACGTTTGATCCGCTGTAGGAGACTGAGCACAGCTGGGTCACCTGGAGTGAAGAAAGTGCTTAAGTGGAAAGATTTAAGTAAGATATTGGACATAATTGGCGTTTAAACCTCTTACTGTCAACTATCTAATACTGTTACTCTAAATACATATGACCTATCCTTCTTTAATAAGTTTATTATTGCTGAAATTTAGGGAAGGTTGCCAAAGTAACCGGCGCAGTTGTCTTAGGGTAAGTATAGTATTTTCGTGCAGATTTTCATTTTTGATTCCTACTAAAAATAGCCAAATTTGATCTGTATAGTTTGTGTGAAATAACATGAATGGCGAGCAGCTTATCCATAATCTCTCTGCAGAGGTGGTCTTTTTATTACTTATGAAGTTGTTGCCTTGGACAAGGCTGTGACCATTGACACTAGTGCGATTCTTCAAGAGAAGTACAAGTCCTACATTTATCTCAGAGCCACAACCTCAGATGAAACGGAGACCCTTACTGCAGGTAATCAATGTCGTTCTGCAAGGCCAGAGTAGGCTTTTATAATATAGTCTTTTAAAAACTCCCTGCAAAACTAAAAATATTACAACCATTGTAAGATTTTTTTTTAGTTATATGTACTGTTTTTGAACATTTGCCCTAGATCTCAGATGAACTGGCAAATGTGCTATCTTTATTTTTTCCTTGTAAGAGCACAGTTATAATGAGTTTGCCATGTCTAGTGACATCTGTTACCATTAGTTCCTGTCTTTCCTTCCTTTGCCCTGTCTACTGTCTTTCCTGCCTCCATATTGAGTCAGTATGTTGACTGATCTCACTTGCACTACTCAAGGTTCACTGATTTAATGGAAACAATTATCACCAACTTATACCGAGATACCAACTAGGAACCATTAGTGTTTTAATAGAAATGTAATTAAAATTTGCCAGGTTGTCATAGCAGTTACTTTTGTCACACTGCATATATTTCAGGGCTTACATACAAAGCAAGGGGGGAACTTCATAAAGCAGCACGATGGCTTCTGGAAATAACCTCAAGGCTTTTTATGCAACCGCTAGATGGTAAGAAACCAAAAGCTGGCTTTATAGCTCTTCACCTTTAATTCACTTTTCAATTGAAAAGCAGAATGTATTGCTAATAAAAAAACAAATATTGTCAGGAAACAGTGGCCATTTTTGTTGTTTTTTTTATGTGGAGTGTGCACATGAAGCCCAAAGGAAACAGCTGTCTTGCACATGCACATCCTGTTTTAAAATGCCATAGTTTGGCCATTAATGTGTATATTGTGCAGTTAAATGTTGCATTAATCTGATTGTTTTGCTCACTTTACATGACATCTTTCATGCCTTTTGTAAATGGACAGATTTGTAAATTAAGTTGTAATGTGTAATAGCTTATTCAGAACATTGTATTCCAGTAAGACATAAGACTATAATAAGTTAACTTTACCACTTTTAAAAATGAATAGCTGCCACACCGATGAAACATGGTTTGCAACCACAAGGTCTGTAACTTCATAGCTGCTGTCACAATCTGAAGGTGGTACTATAGTTAGTCATACAGTTTGAGTACAGTTTTACAGACCCCTAGGAATATTTGTATACGTGTTTCCTCTTTGTTCTCCAAATGTTCCGCCAGTCAGTTTGGTCTGCATTTTTATGATTTAGAGCACTTTAGCCATGTGGATGCAGACCCGCATGAGGTGGCACTATGGGTGCTGCTGAAGAGGACACAGTCAGCCGTTAAAGCCATCAGACAACAGGCTGTACAGCAGCTTGCAGACAATCACCACTGGCATGGTAACATACACAAAAACCACTGCATATAATGGTAGGCTTATTTATAACAAGAAACCAAGGTGGGATTAGGTCACATTTGTTGTCAATATTACAGACTATCAGTATCAGACAGCAGCCCAGGTTATAGACCAGACAACAGCAGTGGGCCTGGCTCGGACTCATCAGGTAGACCTGCGATTCTTCCTGCCTCCACCTGCATTACCTGATCTGGAAAATGTATGTATCCTCACTGAAACTGACAGTTTTTTTTTTTTTGATCCTATACTTTAGCTTTATCTCACAAATGTACTGTATATAAAGGTGCTAGCTAAGAAGTGTTAACATCTTCTTCACAGGGTATGTCAGCAGAAGATGGATTAAGGCAGCTGCTGGCATCTCTGCCTCAGTCTGAAGTGGACAAATGTGTTCAGTACTTCACATCATTGGCCCTCAGAGAGAGCACTCAGTCCATGGCAGCACAACGGGTAATAATGACAGATGACTGTATCTATGTACTCATACATAAAGACTTTAGGAAGCTAAAAACCCGAAGCAGCATGACAATAAAAATCCTCTTGCATGCCCATACTAAAGTGTAATTCAAAATCTCTGAATGCTGACACTAATACCGGTGCTCTCGCATGTTTCAGGGCGGTCTTTGGTGTTTTGGTGGCAGTGGGCTGCCCTATGTCCAGAGCCTCACTTCTGTCCCCTCAGAGAAGGTGGAAACCTTCTGTCTACAGGCACTGGTCCAACACTCAAAGGTAATGATGGCAATTATGCCTCTAAACATGATTTGGTCTTGAGGAGAACCTGTTTTAATTCCCTTTGTGAAAGGGATCATAGAAGCGTATTCTGCAGCACATCTTGTTTTTCTCCCCACAAGAATTTAAAAGCAAGTCAAACTCTTAATTCATAATCAAGGCATTTTTTTTTTTGTCAAAGTTCAGTTAATTCCTTGGATTCTTGTGTTTCGTGGCTGGAGGGGCACTTGTCTGCATGCAAGTATGTTTAGTGCTTTAACTGAAATATATTGGACACTCTTCTTTAGATTGCATTGGTTTCTGAACTGAAACAGTTTCATTATCTCATCAGTTAATGAGGGCCATTTGTGAACAACCATCTTAGTGAGTTGGAATAATCATGTGGTTGATACTTAGTTGTTATTATTCAGTAAGGTGAATAAATGTTCTGAACTTACTGATCACATTTCTTGTCTTCAGGTCCAGAACCACTGTGATCACATCGTTGCCAATGGGGGTCTGCAGCTCCTCCAGAGGGTTTATCAGCTTCGTAGAGACTCCCTGAAGATTCAGAGGAACACTGTTCGTATCATAGGAAACTTGGCACTCAATGAGAGTGTTCACCAGGCCTTAGCCCAGTCTGGTAAGTTTAGAAATCATCTCAGTATTCCATAGTGTTCTGCTTATGTGCAGTCTTGGATGGTCTTAAAAACAAAATGTAAAGCTTATTTTTGCATATTCATATTTTATCTACAGAGTACATATTCACACTTACAATACTTTATCACTGAAATGTGAACTTTATGTTGTCATCACAGCTACCAACTGTTGATCAACCCAGACATGCTTTACAGTAGTCACACTTTTTACTATTTTCTGTCCCCATCATATTAATTGAAAACAGATTGTAATGGATCCAATCTTTCTTCCTTACTTTACCATCAGGCTGGGTATCTGTCCTGGCTGAGATGATGCAGTCTCCTCATGTCATACAGGCATCTCATGCAGCTCGCGCTTTGGCCAACCTCGACAGGGAAACTGTGAAAGAAAAATACCAAGATGGCATCTACATCCTCCACCCACAAACACGTGGCAAGTAGGAAAACTATTAATTGTATTGTCATAATTTTTATAGGTAATTTTATTTTATATTTAAACCCAAATTTATTTTTGACCATGTCTGAATTTCCAGTCAGCCAATCAGTGCAGACGTGCTGTTCATTCATGGGATTCTGGGGGCAGCTTTTAAGACGTGGAGGCAGAAGGACCGAAATGCATCAGAGGAAGCAGAGGAGGAAGCAAAGGAGGAAGAAAGCTGGGATGACTACACAGAGTGCTGGCCAAAGGTAAGAAATTCACCTAATTCCTCGAATTACAGTGGATCACCACAAAATGTCTTTCCATGTAGGAGTTTGGTTTTCACAATGAAATGTGAAGATTTTGATTAATCTCAAGTAACTGAATCATCTCTAACTGCTGTCCTGCTGTGTCGTCATGTCCGTTTTATTCACAGTCATGGTTGGCTGCTGACTGCCCAAATCTGAGAGTACTATCAGTAGAATATGACACTCACCTCAGTGACTGGATGGCTAAATGTCCCGCTGAGAATCAGAGGTGAAGAATCTGCAGTTCCTTCAAATGTCCACTGATGTTTAAGCATAAAGTATCATAAAGCTGTGCAAGTATGGAATTTTACATTTTTCCTCTTATTGGAGAGATTGTATTGATTTTGATTAAAACAATTATTACTTACACAGCAAGTAGTAGTCCTAATTATCCTAATATTTTGCACACCCTTTCCAACATCATGACAGTTGTCTAACCAAGCTACCATTCATGTTGAAAAAATGTTTTATTGTCCCAAATGTTCCAGTATTCATTATGGACACATTTAACAGGATAACAATAAGTGACCTGTTTATTCATTGCTTTTGTCTCCTCAGGAAGTCCATGGCCTACAGAAGTCGAGAGTTGCTAAAGAAGTTAAAGCTGGCAGGGGTTGGAGAGAGGCCTGTGATCTGGGTAGCACACAGTATGGGAGGTATTTTGTCAGCCTTTTCCTTCAAAGAATCAAATCCCCTGAATGCAAAAAAAAATTGATTTGGTCTTATTTCACACCTGCACCTCAGCTTGTCTGATTTACAGGTTCACTGTCTCTTTGTATCTTATGTTTGATTGCCCACCCACCCCCCAACCCTGTCAGGATTGCTTGTGAAGAAAATGCTTTTGGATGCTTCAGAAGATCCAGATATGCATGGGCTGTTAAACAACACCAAGGGCATCATGTTCTATAGTGTTCCTCACCGTGGAACTTCTATGGCCGAGTACTCAGTCAATGTCAGATCTCTCCTCT